TTCATGTTACAAGAAAGAAATAAAATATGCTACTAAATCTTACTTCTCCACTTCTGTTCACGTTAAAAAATGACCATACACTACTAAATACTAAGAATCACTAAACTATTCCATGATTCCTTGACCTACTTCCTTAAATGTATTCTACGAAAATTTTATTGAGAGAGGGAAATCTATGTGTAAAAAATATGATTCATTACACTGGAAAAATGTCCAACCACCAATAGAAGTTTTTTGTATGTTTGTAATTTACCAATATTTATTTTTACTCTGACTCCACAAAGAATTTGAGATAGCTTACAAGAACATATATGAATTCATCATATATATAAAATGTGGATCAAGGAAAAAACAATTAAATACACTAATTGGATAAGATCCAAACCAGGCATTATGGCTGCACTTCTAAGTTTGTTCTGAGTTGAGTAGCCAAGAACAAAACAAAACAAAGTGGCCATTAAATAATTCTCATTAGAGGAAAGAAGACATAGTCCCTCGGGGGAAAACCGAATTGTTAATAGATGGCACAGCTTCTGAATGATAGGTATAATCAGACATTTTAAAAGATTAATTATTGACTACATAGTCAATACTGCAATAACTATAAATGGTGTCAGATGGGTACGAGACTTATTGGTGCGATCACTTCTTAAGTTATATAAATGTCTACTATGTTAAACACCTTTAACTAATATAATATTGTATGTCAACTGTAATTGAAAAATAAATTTTAAAAATAATAGTAATAAAGATTATACAACAAAGAAAATAGGATAATGTTAAGGAAAAGATACAAAATTATATGTACACTCACTCCAACTGCGTGGTGATATAAAAGCATGGTACATTTAGAAAAAAGACTAGAAGGTCATAAACATCACCCCAGAACCCCCCGCCAAAAACATACACACAAACTATACTTCTTTGGCTGCAATGATCATATCATATTTCTTCTATACCACAACCATACCTAGGCTGTCAGGCACACAGTAATAGTTTAATATTTTTAACTGTATCAAAATGTCTATATTTATATATTTACTTGATTCATTTAAAAAAGTTGGCCTATAAGACAGAAATACTCAATATACAACAACAGAACTAATGAACATAAAGTAGTTTCTGATAAAGAACTCATTACTGCCACACTATGAATGGCAAGGCTGAATGTAGACTCCTTACACAGTTGAAAAGCACCAACAGGTCTTTCTCAATCCACAACTTCCTTCTTCTATTCCATATATAGTTCAGATTCTTCCTCTAGGCTCACAAGATATTAACTACCAAGAAATGTTATTGCTACTCCCAGATAAGAAATAATACAAGCATTTTTTTGTGTGTGCAAAAAACAAAAGTATTTCTTACGTAGTTCAAATTTTGAAAAGACAGAAACTAGAAATCTCAAAATCAAATGTGACCACAAAAACATCAACTTCTCAACACTGTGAAATCATGACAACCGGATATGACAGATTCCATATTATCAAATGCTATAAAGTGTGTCCTTTAATTCAGTTCCTATTTCTTGACATTTCCTTGCTTCTCAAATAGCACGTAACTACAACCAAAATTTCCCCTTTTAACATAGAAGTGGTCTTCAAAGCAGAACTTGGACTTTTATTGTGGCTATTTTCTAAAAGGGATATGTGCCCTACACACATAAGCCAGACTTGATAGTTTTTAAAATTCAAGACTCTTAATGTTTCTATTATATAAATACTAGAGGCTCGTACATGGATTCATGCACCATTGGGATCTCTCGGCCTAGCCTGCAGGAATCGGCCAAAACTGGCTCTCTGACATCCCCCGAGGGTCCCGGATTGCAAGAGGGTGGACCCTAGCAGCAAGCTAACTACTGGCTGGAGCATCTTTCCTCTGGTGGTCAATGCGCGTCATAAGCAGCTAGTCGAATGGTCTAACGGTTGGACACTTAACATGGAAAATGGGTAAGATACCATTATATGGTACTAAAAATAAGGCACTAATCAGAAAATCTACCCCTCCTTTACTATAGTTATCATCATCAGTTATTTCTGTAATCTTAAATAAGTGCTTATTTATTTTTATTTATTTCTTTTTTAAATAATAATTTTAATTGATATTTAACAGAGAGGGAAGAGGAGGAGGAGAGATATACCATGTTGTGAGAGTACACTATGGATCAGCTGCCTCGTGCACGCCCCCTACAGAGGATCGAGCCCAAAACCTGGATACATGCCCTTGACCAGAATTGAACTGACAACCTTAGAGTGCATTGGACAAAGCCTAAGCAACTGAGCCACACAGGCCAGGGCTTATTTAATTAGAGAGGTAATCAACCAAGACCTTGTGAGGGGGGAGGGGTATTGGCGGGCAGGCTGGAGGAAGTCAATGGGAGGGAAATGGGCTGATGTATAATACTTTCAACAATAAAGAATTTAAAAAAATATATGAAAAATAAAAAATAAAACCACATTAGGCACACTAAAAAAATACATTTAGCCCTTTCCAGTTTGGCTCAGTGGGTAGTGTTGGCCTCCAGACCAAAAAGTCTTGGGTTCGATTCCGGTCAAGGGTACATACCTTGGTTGCAGGCTCGAACCAGGCCCTACCAGGTCAGGAAGTGTGCAGACTCCAAGGTATCAATGGAGAAGGGAATAAATCCCAAAGCAGTCATAAAAGAAGGCTCCTCATAGCTTCAGCTCATGAACCAAAAGATTTAGTGTTGTCAGTTTTGGACAGCTGAAGGGTCTGTTTTTATTAACCACAGTTGTAAGTAACTGTTATTTAGACACCAAGATTTATTTCAAAATGAGATATCAGACTCCCAGAGGGATTTATTAATAACAAAAATGTTTTCAGAAAAATTTTAGTTCGAGACCATATCCAATACTTGATGAAGAATTTCCTCACCCCTTCCCTAGAAAACTATCAATTAATTTAAAAAGATATCTTATTTTTAAAATTATTTTGAATTAAAATAGGAAACAGAAATCTGTATTTTAGAAAGAAATGAGAGATTGGATACCATAGAATATGACAGTTCAAAGAAAGGTAGCTGGATTCACTGCAATGGGTAACCAATCTTAATTGAGACTACTACATTTTGTTTAAATTGACTAAAAAGGAACAGAAAGTAGGTTTTTAAATGTTTAGTAATAAAAAAGATAAAAGTATATGTGAAAAAAATTACTAGCCATTCCATTTGGTTACTTTTGTGAAAAAAGTAGCAGTTCCTTTGAACAGAAGAGAGAGATTTTAACATACTTTCACCAAAATCAGAATTTCAAATGCAAAATAATTCTTCCTTTAGTAACTCCCTAATCATAGAATCTATTAATTAAAGTACAAAAGAATTCTAGATAAGGGGTGCCTTCCTTTCTAATTAAACAGTTCCCTATCCAAAACTTGGTAAACTTCAGAAACCAAGAGGAAAATGTAATAGGTCAAATGAGAGGTTGGCTCTGTTGACTGTGCCAGTAGTGTTTGGTTTTAAAATACTACATAATTCCTGCTATGAAATTACAATCAAGGTAGGATTAAAATATCTCCAATAGCTAATTATTTTTCTTCTTTGAATTGAAAATGCTCAATTCTTAAAATATCCCAAAAGCTTATAATTGCCACTAGATGAGTAGTACTCAGTAATGTGACTCCAGGAGTGTATTAGTTAGTGTGTGCATTGTGCAGTCCATCATACAGCTCTCTACCACCTCAAATTTCTATAGTAAAATCATAGAAGTCATTCCATGTATTCAGTGTTAACAAAGGAAGGGTACAGCAGTTTAGGTATCTATAAGCCTAAAAATACAAAGACATGACACATGGCTTATTCTCTGTCACTCTAGTTGGCTTCTGTTACCAAATATCCTTTGGCTCCCTTCTATGACATCTGCTTGACAGCCATGTGAGTTCTCCTTCAATTCTAAATGCCTGAACGCCAGATTCCCAGCGATTCTCGGATTTCCTATTGGGTCCTTCCAAAGTCCTAGAGAGAGCCGTCAGTTATCACACCGTTATCCAAGCCTGGTAGCGAGGATTACCAGCCTGAATGCCAGTCCCCTAACAGCAGGTGTCACTATGCATCTTTAATGGTGAAGTGGGAAGGGTAACTGCTGGCCATCTCTTGTTGAGAAGGAAAACTGGAGAGCATTCTGCCTGCATGAATCAATCTGAAAACAGGCCATGAAGGCTCTCCCCATTTCTTTCTAATTTTGTTTCAATTAGGACCACTTTGATTAGCCAAAAAGGGGAAATCATCCTTGGGATTTGAAACAGTAATTATTTTAAAATCAAGAATAATATATAGCCCTAACTAGTTTGGCTCAGTGGATAGAGCATCAACCTGCGAACTGAACCAGGGTTTAGATTCTGGTCAAGGGCACATTCCCAGACTGTAGTCTGGATCCCCAGTAGCAGGTATGCATGAGGCAGCATGAATCATTGATGTTTCTATCTCTCTTTCCCTCTACCTTTCTCTTTGAAAGTCAATAAAAATATATTTTAAAAAATAATAAAATATAAAATTACATTAAAAATAAAGTGATTATGAGAAATGACAATCTGTTCTTCTAAATGCCCTCAATGTTCCACTACAGAGGAACAAAAAAACAAAAGAATTCAGTAATATTTTTATACATATTTCAAAGCTAGAATTTGTCTTCCATTTTTAAGTTCCAAAACAATACAGAAAACAATGAAACTTTGTGTAGTTGATCATTAGAAGATCCGCATGCACACACCACAGAATCCTGGTTAGTGGATCTAGCATAATATTAACTACAACAAAGCCTGAGAGCTAAATTGAAGAAAAGAGTAATATAGGTACTTTTAATTTAGTCATTTCTGCAGATATGGGTGCCACATGAAAATGTGAACAAAAGAAACTAAAATCTAATTCCCAGCTCTCACTCTTGAGTCTGGAAAAACAATCTCAAGCATGTATTTGGAACCTTAATCAAATGTCAGGATGAGTCATTCTCTATTACAACCCACTTATGAAGAGAGATATTTTTACTTACTCTGGTCAGCATAGTTTTTTGCTTTGAGTTCAAGTTGTCTTGTTTGAGATTCTAAAGATTCCACTCGGGTCTGTAAATCCTTTTTTTCCTGTTCTTGAGAGTCTTCAAATTCAATGAATTTCTAATAAAAAAAATATTTTCATTAGAGAAATAAAAATTTTTAACATTATCAACTCCTGTGTTTCTTGATATTAAGTAGCACAGTTAGGCATTAACTACTCAAAAAGATACCAGAATCATGAACTTAGGTTGATTTTTTTTTTTTTTTTTTAGATTCTCTATTAAAAAAAAAAAAGTTTTAAAATCTACAAATATAGAAAAGCTAACAAAATAATCTGTGTGTTTTCACATAATATAATAGACATTCAAGAGGAAATACATAAATCTTACCCCCCACATATATAAATGGCTTTACTAGTATATTTGCATATTCATCTGAATTCAAGATACAATTTTTACATAATTTTGCATGTAACGTGTACAATAAGTAGAGAACCAAAGGATGATGAAATAGCAATAAATACTTGTCAAATGCTAATTTGATTAAAGGACAGTCTTCTAGTTTCTTGAACCACAGAATTATTATTTTTTAAATAGAGAGAGGGAGAGGCAGTTTGTTTCTTGTTTTTATGCTAGGTGTTTTTGTTTTGTTTTAATATATTTTTATTGATTTCAGAGAGGAAGGGAGAGGGAGATAGAAACATCAATGATAAGTGAGAATTGATGACTGGTTGCCTTCTGCATGCCCCACACGGGGCATGTGCCCTGACCGGAATCGAAGTGTGAATGCTCAACCACTGGGCCATGCCAGCTAGATAAGAGAGTTTTTTATTGCCTTTCGAGAAAGATGAAGGAAGAGGGAGTGGCAGAGAGTAACACTGATTGGCTGTCTCCTACATGCCCCATACTGTGGATGGAGCTGGCAACTCTGGCAGGGAATTGAACTGGAGACTCTTGGAGCATGGGACACTGTTCAAACAACTGAGCCACACTGGCCAGGGCTGAACCATGGAATTTAAATTTCTAAGAAAAAGAGCATGTTCTAGAAATATCTCTACCAAATTTAATTTACTAAAACTGTTCTCAACAAGGAGATTATCATTGAATATAAGAATCAAATCTCAATCCTCATCTTAAAAATAGCATCTTTTGACAGCTCATCACTGACTACTCTTTAAAATCCTTTTTTAAAATTTGACTTCGACTTTCCTTTCTTCTCTTCTACTTTACTGGCTGTCATTCTTGATTTTCTTTGTTGGTTCTTCCTCTTCTCCTCAACTTCTTAACATTGGCAAGCTCAGTCTTGACTAACTTTTTCTATGTGCTGTTTACTCGTTGTAGTCAGCTTTGACTTTTTCTTTCTCTAATACCTTATATCCAATCCATCAGCAAATCTACCTTTACATCCAACCAATTTCTCTCTCTCACTCCCTCTCTTTTCCTTTCTCTTTAAAGTACACCAGATGGCCCAGCTGTTGTTGCTCAGAGGCTAAGTGTCCACCTATGAACCAGGAGGTCATGGTTCAATTCCCAGCATGCTCAGGTTGCAGATGTGATTCCCAGCAGGGAGCACACAGGAAGCAGCCAATCAATGATTCTCTCTCATCATTAATGATTCATTCTCTCTCTCTCTCTCTTTCTCACCCTTCTTCCCTCTTTCCCTCCCTCCTTCCTCTGTGAAATCAATAAAAGAAAAAAGGTTATATGAACAGAAAAGTTATTTCAACATTTTTACCTGGGAATATAAGCAAAGATAAAGTATTAATAAGGAAATGTAACTATTTCTGGCATGCTTTGAATGAATGCTCCCTTAACTAACTAAACTGCTTCATCTGGGTAACTATAAATTCTTATTTTATGTTTCTTTTGTGCTATTAATAAAATGTTGTTTGAAAGAACATAGAGATATTTACAAGTAACAGTTAAAATGCTATGCTATTAAACTCCTGATAAAAAAAAAAAAACAAAAAAAAAACGTTACCACTAATAGGGTTAGAAAGTGGGGGTGGGAGAAATGGGTAAATGTGGTCAAAGGGTACAAATTTCCAGTTAGAATGAGTAGGTCTGGGGATATAGTGTATAGCAGCACCAAGACTATAATTAAGAATCCTATATAATAAAAGCCTAATATGCAAATTAACCGAACAGTGGAATGACTGGTTGCTATCATATGCACTGACCACCAGGGGGCATACGCTCAATGCAAGAGCTGCCCCCAGTCTGCAGGCCTAAGGCCAGCCAAAGCAGGTACCAGCAGGGCCTCCCCCCCACCCCCACCCAATTATCCCACTGGTCACTCTGCAGAGAGAGGCAACTGGTGGTGGGGGGAAGAGCGGGTCTCCCCTGATCACCCAGCTGGTCACCCCACAGATCGGCCCTGATCACCAGCCAGGCCTAGCTGTGCATGAATTTCATGCACTGGGTCTCTAGTACTACTATATTGCATATGTTAAAGTTGCTAAGAAAATAGACATAAAAGATCTCACCACACAAAAAAGTCTGTAACTATGGGAAGTGATGAATGTGTTAACTAACCTTATTGTGGTAATCATTTTACTATATATGTAATCAAATTATTACATTGTACACTGTATACCCTAAATTTATACAATGTTATATGTCAATTATTTCTCAAAAAAGCTGGGGGGGGAAACAATTTTACCACTCTTCTGCCTAGTCAGACTTTTCTGACAGAGAGAAGAAGCATCACTTGGACACAGCTTTGTATCTGCTTTGTTTCTTGGCGACCCAGTTTGGCTACAGAAGGTCATGAATAATCTATAACTGTGAAACAGTCACTACTATACATTTACTCTACAAGAATTATCTATCTAGATGATTCAAGCTTCAAAACTTTTTGCATTTTATTACAACTATATAATATAGATATGTCTCATATCTATATTGACTACCTTAAGTAAATATGGCAAAAGGAAGAGAGATTTTTTTCTCTTCAAAATTGTGTGACAATTCTTGGACAGGCAGAGCTATTTATCACCAAATGGAAATCTTTGCTTCTGTGGTTTCCCTTCACAGGAAAGAACTATCAATAACGAAAATATTCCATGGCAAATGAATAATACCAGGACTTTCCTTTCAGCAAATTAAAACAAACTTAGCGAGACTATAAAACAAATTGCTATTTCTCATAAGGATATGTTTTTTCCTTTCTTATTCTAAATAGTGAATTTTCAGTTTTTTGGCATCATAACCTCCTTTGAGAATCATTCTTTTCCCAGGCATCTAACTATATAAAACCCAAATGGAAAACAAAGCATTTCATTTCAATGCATCTTCAAGTTTTACAAGAAATAAAGAATGATTCCCCACATTTATAAAAACTAATTTTTTTTCCCAATATATTCTTAAAATTCTCCCTGCTCTTAAAAAAATCCCAATTTTAAATGTACTTTACATCTTGGTTTAAAATGTACAGTTGAGCCGAGACTGGTTTGGCTCAGTGGATAGGGCGCTGGCCTGCGGACTGAGAGGTCCCGGGTTCGATTCCGATCAAGGGCATGTACATTGGTTGTGGGCACATCCCCGATAGGGGGTGTGCAAGAGGCAGCTGATCGATGATTCTCTCTCATTGATGTTTCTAACTCTCTATCCCTCTCTCTTCCTCTCTGTAAAATATCAATAAAAAATATATTAATTAAAATGTACAGTTGAGAGCTAATCACTATTACACAACAAAAATAAATATTCCTCAGTTCTGATAAGGCATGTTAATAGATATACAGGGCAATGAAAGCCTAGTTAAACGAACACTCCTTATTGCCTTCAAAGAATAATCAAGAAAAAGTAATGAATATCTGACATTTTCTAAATTGTTATTCAAGAAAAATACCTACCAAAAAGACTACTTTGGGGGCATTGTTTTGAGAAATATCCCTGATAATATATTCACCTTGGGAACAGAAGTTGCTATAGGATGGACCAGCTCAGGAAACAGAAGACTAATAAGTACAAAAAACTTCAGAAACTGGCCTGGCTCTATCTGGTACTTAACAATAATGTGAAAGTAAAAAATGTGATATAAGAATTTAGGAAAAAAATAAAAATAAAAATAAAAATAGAAAAGGTGACATGAAATTCAATCAGACACCAAAATAAGGATAAAGATTTGGATCCATGGCCCTAACAGGAGAGTCCCTTTTCCTGGGTGAGGGACCGACTATAAAGGAGGTAATGAGAACTGTTTTTTGTTTTCTTTCTTTTTTTTTAAATGAGCTATTATTTTATTATTGTTTTGAGTCCTGTGCTGTTTCCAATAGTTTAGAATATTTATATTATTATTTTGAGGAGATTTATAGCAGAAATATCTGTTCATAGGAAATGTAACAAGGCCCTTGGGGTAAATAAATTCATAGTACTATGCTGATCTTTGTCAGACAATCTTTTATGATACATATAAACCTTGCTTAAGTAAGTAAGAATGCAGGTTTACACATAAGACAGATTAATAGGTTATTGTTTACTTTCTAAATATAATTATTTTTAAAGGAAAGGTTCCTATAAGGTCGATTTAAATGAAAAATTCCTGTGGTGCCTTTAAAGTATGATTAGTATACAAAAATAAGTTTATATGAAACTTTTCAGAGATATATTTATTGTACAAATGAAAAAGTTCATTTGCCTCGCTCTTTTTTTGTTGTTGGAATGATTTAAAAAATGATTTTTTGTTGCTGAATGTTTTAAATTATTATTCATGTTTTTTAGAAAGTGGAAGGGAGAGAGAAACATCGATGTGAAAGAGAAACATAAACATTGATCAGCTGCTTCTCACACGCACCCTGACAAAGGCTTGAACCCCAAACTTAGGTAGTGCCCTGACCAGAAGTCAAACCCACCACCTTTTGGTGTAGAGGGCACTCCAACCAACCGAGCCACACCAGACAGGCTGTTTCTTTTTTCTATACCTAACTCTCTCATAACTACAGATAAAATAATTAGACAATAGGTGTCAACAGTTACACTAAAAATTTCTCCAACAAGGCTTTCCACTTCTATTGCAGGTGGGTTAGTAGGACATGTGAGTACTGCTGAACCTCATTACTAGCTTTGTAGACTACAAATATGAGTGACTCTTGTTTTAAAGTCTTCTTAATTTACCTCAAA